CTTTTCCCGCAAAATACACCTAAAAATAGTATATATTATATAATACTTATTTTCCGAAAAATACACCTATGTTTTGTTTTAGGATTTTGACATAATGAATTGTTGTTAGAAGTTTTATTGGATATTATGCTGTGTTTATTTTTATTTATTTTTTGAACTGAAATTTAGTAGTTATTAGTTTTACTTTTATCAACGTGGATGCTCTTATTTTCGAAAAATTATGAACATTTAAGAAAATTTCGGCTAAGTTTTGAAATTTTAAAGCTTATGTGATTTCCGATTTTTTTCCGAAATTTCCGAGCCTTTTGGAATTGGAATGAATTTTTAGATTCCAAAGATTTTGGAATTGAAATTGGAATTGGAATTGATTTTGTACTTCCGAAACTTTTTGAAAATTTTCCGAAAAGGCTAATTTCGATCCGGTGCATCCGACTTTCACCCATAGTTCCGACGAACCATGGATGGAACCCAAGAATAATAAAAATTATGTATATATATATAGATGATGGGCTGAAAATTGGATTGGGCTCGGGCGCAATTTGGCTATGTAGTTTATTTATTTATTTATTTTTAGGCAGGTACCCCATCGGGTATCCAATTCGGTTTGTGAAGACCGGGTACTGGAACCCTACCTCCATTGGATTGGTCTAAATGTTACAAATGATTTGGGCATCTTCCTTTCAATAATAGCGTTTCCTTGTTTTCAAATTAATAAATCCAAATAATGGTCCGGAGTTCTTTGACTCTTTGTTCTAAGAAATGGCATCCGCCGGAAAATGCTTTCTTGTCACTGGCGCTCCGGTAAACTTGGTGATCAATTTTTATTCTTCAAAAAATAAAATGAAAAATTGATAGTTTTATTATTATGCAGGGAGTGGGAAAAACAACGCTGATAATCCGTGTGCTGGAAGCTCTTAAACTATCCAACCCTAACTTGAAGATTCAGGGATTCTACACTCGTACGCCTCCAAATTTGATTTTTTCTTTTGACGAATCCATCATATTTATCTTTTAAGGTGATATTCTATAATCCCAAATCTCGATCATACATTTGTTGCTGTTGCTGTTGCTGCTGGTGGTGGTTCTTCCTTTTTCTTTTTCTTTTTTAATTAAATGAATTGTTGGCTGGTAATTTCAAAACATTATTCGAGTTGTTCTGTGTAGAGTAGCACTATATTCAACTTTTGATGGAGTGAATTATATGTTGTTGTTTTGATGAAAGATTGATTGTATTTAAAATAATCGAATTGATTTACGTAGGTGAGGTAAGAGAAGGGGGTGAAAGGATTGGGTTTGAAGTGGTTACTCTTGATGGTCGTAAAGCTCCTCTCGCCTCAACCAACATTTCTAGGTACTTTTTCTATACATACATTTGTTCCTTTTTTTTCGCTATCTCTTCCTCGCAGTATCACATTTGTTTTTGGTAATGCACTCAACAATTTAAGTGATTAATGTCGGATATTGATCTATTTTGATGTATTAGCACTAGACTGCATTTTGCTTCCTATAATATCTTTGTTTCCCAGAGTTGCTGCAGAGCTTTTGTCGAGTCGGCTCGTCGAGTTCAAGAGCCGGCTCAGCTCGTTTACCACCCCTACCTAAAACTGTACATTTACATTTTATGTTTTGGTAAATCTCACATAAAAACAAATTTAGTGTTTAAGATTCCTGTATTAGTCTTTCTACTCGTCCAAATAGCCGTGATAGTAAATGAAACTATAGTTAGGAAGTATTCTTCTTAATCTAGTAACTGTCGAAAAGTAATCTACAGAAGTCACTCTTCTCCTAAAATCAAAATTTCTTTTAAAGCTTCTCTATTTGAAGCTCAAAATCTTCTAGGAAAAAAACAAAAGCTTTTTGACACTATTTGATTGCTCGAATATAAATCAATTCAACATACAAACAAACATGAATATACTCTTTGAGTAATTTATAGCTAAAACAGCTGTGTAAGGTATGTGAATATAAGTTGCAGAATTTGTCTCAGGGAGAGCAGAGAGGGAAAAAACACGAGGGTTTCAAGACTTTTCAATACGATTACTGACACTTGGCACTTGCATTAAATAACTGAGATGAATAAAAAAGCTTAACATGATTACGCTGGCACTTGATTACTTAGTTGCAAGCTGCTCTGCTAATCCTAAGTTTTTTTGTTTCATTACTTTTTTTTTTTATGGCAGCTGGGAATCGCAAAGATGGCCGAATGTCGGAAGATATAAAGTAGACGTTTCATCATTTGAATCATTAGCATTGCCTGAGTTGCAGGTTCTACATCTATTTAACAAGTCACATTTAATTAATGACGCGCAAATTTGAAATGAATGTACGATACCATACCATATATACGAGCAGGTTAAGGAAGACAGTGATCTGTTTGTTATTGATGAAGTTGGTAAAATGGAGCTGTTCAGTTCGTCATTCTTCCCTGCCATTTTACGAGTACTTGAATCGAATATTCCTCTCTTGGCAACTGTCCCTCTTCCTAAATCTGGGTGCAGAGATATTCCTGGAGGTGGTACACTATTTTAATCAAAATTAATTATAAAAACACGAATACTGCCTATATATTTTATTCATGAAAATTAATTCCAATTTTGCCCGCGTGTCGAGAATACTGGCCAAACCGCTGTAAAACGAGTTTATAGTTTGTAGTGGTGTTGATGTAATTTGTTGGTTTTGCAGTTGCAAGATTGAAAAATCAGACGGGGGCTACCATTTATACGGTGGACAGTAGTAACAGAGATGCCATGAAAGATCAAATATACTCCAACTTGGCAGACTTGTTGCAAACACACTAGACTTGTATCTACTCAATCCTTGTTTCTTTTTTTTTTTCCTTCTCAAGTATGCATTGCACTCAATTAATTCTTTTACCTATGTATGTATTTACTGTGCTCTCAAAATAATGGGCTGTAATACTGGGCCAAATTTATAAGGTTGTCTGTCCCTGATTGACATTGTTTCTTTTTTTTTTTTTTTTTTGTGTAGATGTAATGAGAGACTCTAGGCTTTGCATAACATAAAATTCTGGTTTCCTTGTGAATATTAACAATTACTTTCATAGCAAACGGAAAAAGAAATGAATTATAATATCAGTAATTCATTAATCTAGAGTGGCCGTATATTAGAATTATTATTGAGAGAACGGCCCCTTTTTATGGTGGTCCAAATTTTGTTGATGGGTTCACTCATTAACTCATTTCCAAGAAACACAAAAACTCTCTAAAGCAAATAATTGGTTATTCCTTTTTTTCTTGTGTTAATAAAGTTGCTTTTATTCTCATATGTGTTTGTCTAATGCTAATATTATTCCTTGCTTTGTTGTTGGCTGGGGTCCTCTTCCAAACCCACATGTCTCCCTCCTATTTTCCGACTTTGTTTTAGGAAATGAAAACCACGTCTTCTAGAGTAATCGCACAAGGAAGTTGAGCAAGAGCATGGGCTAAACAATTGCCCATTAGATAAATGAACACATGATTGCATCATACGTAGGGATGGCCATGGGGCGGGTTTGGCATTTCCCGCACCCGCCCCTTTAGAAAACCCACTTAACTTGCACTCGTCCCGCAAAAAACTCGTGGGTACCCCCCTCGTCAAGAAACCTGTGATGTTTAAAAAAAATAAAAAAATATTATCAAACTTCAAGTTTACTAGCATTTATATGAATCTGGAAGATTCTGAACAAAAAATAAAAATAAAGAAATAGGATTTTGAAAGGTTTTTATTTAAGATATAATATTATAATATATAAATAAATAAAATACAATAAAATGTAATAAAGTAATATAGATTTACATGGGGCGCGGGTATACACAACCCCGCACCTGCCGAAAAAATAGAACCCATACCCCCCCATTTATTTGCGGGGCGCACATTACCCGTAAATTTCAGGACGGGTCAGGGAAAATACCCGCGGCACGGGTCGGTTAAAAATTGTCATCCCTAACAAGAGAGTAATAATTCTCCACATCCTCAACTTAGTACCCCAATAACTTGAAGCAAATCCCCAATCGAATTAGATGACATCATTCCATTCTTTTGATGCAGCGAATAATATGACGTGATGAGTAGCCAGTGCTTCACCTTCCACGGGATCAAGGTTGGTCACAAAATTCTACCTACTTTCCTAGCTAACCACGTCTCCCCAAAACTATGCTTATATATCAAACTTCAAATTACTTAAAATGGTGATTACAAATAAGTCCATCAATGGGTACTTGTACTATTATACATAAAAAAATTCCGACAAAAAAATCATTTATAAATAAGTTCACATATGGTTCAAATTTTTATAAAAAACTAAAATAGTCCCTCATATTTTAATATGCTCCAATTGATCATTAACTTAATTTAATATCAATATGATCCCAAATTTCACAAATTATTCAATTTTGACCCAAAACTATTTTTTCCGATTTTTTTTTTTGCCGCCGGATTCTGGCGTTGACTTTTCAAAAAAAAAAATTCCTTCCGGATTTTTTCGCCGGTTTCCGGCATTGACCGGTTTGACTTTTCATTTTTTTTTTCTCTTTCTGTAACATTTCTTTTTCGTTTAAACAACAATATTGCGGTGATTGACAGTAATATTAACTATATTACTGTTAAACACAGTAAAATTAAACTAAACTACAGTTTAATACAGTAATATTGCTATATTAATCTCTAACACAGTAATATTAACACAACAAAACTCATTATTATTGTGTAATAAAGTAATATTACTATGTTGACCGTTCAACAAATGTAAACATAATAAAAAGCCAAAAGAATTAATATTACTGTGAGTGACAGTAATATTACTATAACAACAGTAATATTACCGTCAACCACAGTAATATTACAATAATAGATAGTAATATTATTACGTTACTCCGTGAATAACTCAAACAAAAAAAAATTCAAACAAAATAATAATATTGATGTGGTTGACAGCAATATTACTATAACAACAGTAATATTACCGTCAACCACAATAATATTATTGTGTTTACAGTAATATTACAATAATAGACAGTAATATTATTATGTTACTCCGTGAATAACTCAAACAAAACAAAAAAACCCAAAAAAGTAATAATATTGATGTTGTTGACAGTAATATTATTGTGTTTACAGTTATTTTACTGTCAATGACAGTAATATGATTACGTTGACTTGTCAACAAATCAAACAAAATAAAAAAATAACAAAAAATAAAAATTAATAATTTTACGTTAATTTACTGTCAACGGCAAAACAATTGCATAAATGTATTGTCAACGGCAGTACAATTACGTTAATTAACTGTCACTGGCAGTATAATTACGTTAATTTACTGTCAGTGACAGCACAATTACGGTCAACGTTTAGCGGCGGACGTAAAAAAAAAAAAAAAAGCAAAACAAAAAAAAGTCGACGCCGGAATCCGGTGGCAAAAAAAATATTTGAAAAAAAAAGTTTTTGAAAAAAAAATCAAAATTGGATTTTTGTGGTCAAAATTGGATTTTTGTGGACAAAATTGATTAAATTGGGATTACAATTAAGAGGGTGTTTGGCTAAGCTTATTTTAAACAGCTGATAAGCTCTTACGTCTGATAAGATGTTTTAAGAGCTGATAAGCTGTTACATTTTATTTTTAGGATTAATTTTTAGAGTGTTTGGATAATGAGCTTATTTCCTATTTTTACTCATTAAAAGATCTTAAATAAAAAGGTGGGGTAGAGGTACTTATTTAAAAAGATTTTATTTGCTCTCCAACAGCTTATTTTTTAAAAAATTAAGATCTTTTTCTAAAAATTTACCAAACACTTTGGAAGAGCTTATAAGCTCTAAAACATCTTATAAGCTCCTTTTAACATCTTATAAGCTTAGCCAAACACCCTCTAATAATTGGGTATAAAGGATTGGGGGTAATATTGTCATATACATGAATGTTTCTTTTATTTATAATAAATATTAAAGGGATGAGCTTATTGGTGAAAGATATATAGCCCTGAACCTAGAATAATAAAGATGCTTCGTTAGGGACTTATGCACAAAAAACCCAAATTTAAATTTTTACAATCGATCAACCATGTCCAAAAAAGTCTAGACATATTAACTACTTTTTTTTTTTTTTCCTTTTCTTAAACAATCTATTAGCGTAGGAAATTTTAATTACTTTACGAGTTTGATTAATAAATTTGTATTTTAAAAGACATGAAATATATTAATTTATGATTATAAATTTCTATTTTAATTGAGTACCTACAAATATTGGATTTAGTATCAAGTTTTTTTTGTTGTTTGATTATTTTGGATTGTAAGATATTATAAAAAGTAATTTGGTGTTAAAGCAAATGGCATCATTTAGCTCAATCAGAAACGTATCAATATTTTCTTTGTCAAAAAAATATTATTTTTACTTGATTTTTGAAACATTGGTAAGTTGGGGCTTGCTTCTAATGATCCCCCCACGTTGGGGTTTACGGTCATTGCATGTGGGTTGTTTGGCTTTATGACCTTTTACCAAAAAGCAAACTAACCCTTTTTTTTTCTTTTCTTTTTTTTTTTCTTTCTTCTTCTTCTTTTTTTTTTTTTTTTTTTTTTTTTTGGACATATATTGCATCATTGCATGCATGCACACAGGAAAATCAGCCAATCTTCTAAATAGCGAATTGATCAGATCAGTTTATGTTCACTACTTCTTACCACTTCAGTACATAATAATTACACTATTATATTACTTTATCAATTCACAACAAAATAAAATAATATGTATATTATAAAGTTGGAGCTATTAGTGATAATTGCCTCTAGTTTTTTAGGGGCAATTCGCTATAGGTCACTCTACATTAAATTGTATGTTTATAAATACCTAATTAATTCAAAATCAAATTCCTCAAAAATTTCTCTATCAACTCAAATTCTCTTAAACCCCTCTCCTCCAAATTTATAAAAAAAAAAAAAAAATTCTTAAATATATATATATATATATATATATATATATATATATATATAATCTACAAAAACTAAAACCGCCACTATGATCCGTCAAATGCAATTAACAAACTGAAAATATAATCTGCATTATTTAATTGCAAATAACAAACTACTTATATTTAATTGCAAACAACAAATTGAACAATATGATATGCATCATCTACATGCAAGGAGGAAAAAAAAAAGAAAATCATATATTGCAAATTGTAACTTGTCGTTTTCTATTTCATGTTACTAATTTATTTTGTGTTTTAATTTCATTTTGATGTTAACCAAATGAAAATCAATTAAAATATATAAACGAAAAATGAGTAGTGAAGAAGACTGATAAGTGGATTTGTTAATCACTTCCATATAAGATCATTTACTCTCTCTGTCTCTTATTATATATTTTTTTGGGGTGTTTTTTTTTTAAATTATTTGTTATTTTAGAGTTTCAATGAGGCATTAATTGTATTTATATCAATTTTGCCCCTTATCCTTCTTAATTAGTTAATTAAAAAATTATTAATAACAAGGGTATTTTAATATTTACAATGTTATTTTTGGTATAAACTATGCATATTAATTGACTATCTTAATCTACGCGTAACCACTTAAAACAACATATAAGAAGGGACGGAGGGAGTACTAAGTAAGGAGGGTTTTTTTTTTCTTTACACTAATAATTTAGTTTAATTTAATTTATTGGTCCATTGACCTACACCTATATCCATCTAATCGAATGGACATTCATTTATATAAGTCTAGAATTAGGGATGTCTAGCCAATTTTCCCTTTTTATAAGAAGAGTAGATTCATCCTCATTTTCAATATTAGTAGTAGGTCCCACTTTTTTCATATTCTCAATTTGCCCCTCCACTATTCAATACTCATTACTCGATCGAACCGGCCAGTCCGACGGTTCAGCTCGATCTAACTGATCGAGCCGGTGCGGCAACGGTTCGGTCAGAACGGTTCTCGGTCTCACTGACCCGACCCTCAAGCTCGTGGTA